CCTTACATTTAGATGATAATTTGTCAATTGCATCTACGTTAGACAACTATTTTTTGGTTAAAATTAAAATTTGTTATTAATGTCAGGCCAACATGCGAACATATATGAGGCATAAGAAGTTGTGTAATTGACTCACTGGATTAAATAAACTGAGCAGTGTTGTTTTATAATAATTCATTGTGCGAGATCATAAGGAACCCATGGAGTTATAAAACAATAATGTAATTACCTCCATGGCCGCTGAACAGCCATCAAACATGCAACATATTTGAACAAAATTATATGTATATTGTATAACAATTGTATGTTAACATTTAATTGGGATTTTGTTTATTTGCTAATATAATCTCAACTGAAAACCAGTCATGGATATGAGCAGTCATTGAACATAACTGAAACAATTTACGCTTTATGTTCTCCAGATTTCTGATGTTGCCAACTTAAAACATACTTCCCAATTTTTCTGTTTATTTTTCAGACACCTGAGTTTGTCTACAACTACACACTGAATAACCTTAGGCTGAAAAGTGTACAGGAAATAATAAGCCGTACATTGTTTTTATTATTGTTGTTCGATACTGTAAATATGGAACGCCAACGCTGCCTTATATGGCTGTCTAAGTTTATATTATTAACACACCCCATTATATGGTTGTGAAACAACATTATATTATAAGCTAACACCATTATATATTGATGTAACATCATCATATTACACGCTTACACCTTTATATTATATACAAACACCATTATATAGTGATATAATGTCGTTATTTTATATGCTAACATGCGCATGCGCTCTAAGTGAATGTTTGCTACGCAGCGATGGAGGACGTATTACGACGGTTGGACCTCGGTAATTTGTTGCAAAATTTTGTAGATGAGCGGATAGACACGGTTGTTGTTGTTGTTGGATCACTGACAGATGGTCAGCTGAATCGCCTTGGAGTAAGTACTATTGGAGACCGTGCGCGATTGCGTGACAAAAGTCAAAAGCTCACTGCAGTAGATGAGGTTCCTGTTGATGGCGTTACTCGCGTCGTGGCAGGGACGGCTCAAGTTTGAGAGAAGACATTTTACGTGAACGTACGACACTCTTTACACCATCACGATCGAATTCTGGAAGAGGCAATATAAGGCGTAAAAGGAAAGGCGATAAACTTGGTACTACTAGGACATGAACTGCATCACTAGTTTGTTTAGTAGCGAGTCTAAATTCCGAAAAGATACCGTACTTGGCTGAAAAGCGTGTTCTAAACAATGCAGGTCTTGGTTTGAAAAGGATAAAATTCAATGCTGATGATGACGAGGAGGCGTGAATTGAAAACATATCGCCTGAATTGAAGGCGAGGAATTTCCGCAACTTCGTGACTGTGGGGGTTTTGAAGTTATGGCTCTCAAGTTGGCAGTCGTCAAATTACCGCTGTCGACTGTTCATTGGTTACCGTACGCTAGTAACTGTACTGAATAAAAGCACTTCAGCTCTCAGAGGAAAATATAAATCCGCCCTATTCAGAACAGTCTGAAAACAACGCCGACTAAAACGGTGTCTCATCTGTGGGAGTGTTTAGCGGTGTTGGACGCCAACAGTGACTCTGATGGCAAAGAATCGACCTCCTTGCCGGATGCCTTGTCACTTCTGGGCAAGGTGTAGTACCTGTCAGCCTTGGGTGCCAACTTCCCAAATAATAAGTTTGGTTGACGTCAGTAAGGGCATACAGTCATAAAAACCTTGCACCAACTCAACTTCACATGTAAGGTATTACCTGATAAAGGCAACGTTTACGTTTATAAATATGTATATATTTGTCCTGGGTAAGATTTTAAACTAAATCCGGTTGTGGAGTCTATGGACTTGGGAGAATGAGGTTACCCTTTGCCACAACTACCTCCAGGTCACCCTTGAGCAAGGTGTAGCACCTGTAAGCATTGGGTGCCAACTTCCCACATAAAAAGTTTGGTTGACGTCAGTAAAGGCATACGGTCGTAAAATTCCTGCACAAACAGATCCGCATAGGTGGACAATTTTTCATGTAAATATGTATATATACGTTTCAGTTTTCCTTAGCATTTGGCAGGGGGGATCGTAATCTCTTGTAGTGAGAACCAGTGTGACTGGCCTGCCAACGGGATGCTAAGGTTTTCATAGTAAAATGTATCAGTCACATTCGTTAATGTAATTTCGTTTTATTTATCCGCAAATCAAAAATCACTATAGACACATATTACAAGACACATGCTGTAGCTTGGGTGGTATTTAATGACATGTACTTTATTACGTCATCTGCACATGCATAGTCAGAACGCCGCCATTACTGTAATAAACCAGTTGTGTTGTTCATACCGAGCTTGTATTCTTTAGCCTGTTACGGCCTTCACTGCACCCAAGAACCCAACAATTCGGCAACGAGGAGTAATTTTGACGTACAGAAAACCGTCTGAACAAGTGAAGTGCAAAACAAATCAGCGTCATAATGAACTGCAACGATGCTTTGAAACCGTTCAACCCAATTCCGCCAGAGACAGCTATAGTGCGCTGGGAAAGGTGGATAGCAAGATTCGATAATTATCTTGTAGCCAAGAATATTACACAGGATGCGAAGAAAAGAGCTCTCCTACTTCACCTAGCGGGGAAAGAAGTTTTTGAAATTCACTTCGGATTGGAGCAGGTGGAAGACGAAACGTACGTCCAGTTGAAGACAAATCTGAGTGAGTACTTGGCGTCAAAACAAAATGTAGAGTATGAAGTGTATGTGTTTCGCCAGGCAAGTCAATTACCATCGGGAATTGTTCAGAGAACCATGGAACAGACAGTTCAAGGTATACCAATGACAGCAGTTTATATCGATGATATACTGGTTTCTGGACTTGCCGAAAAAGAGCATGAGGAGAATTTAGATAAGGTTTTGACAAAGACAAAGCTTAGACAAAGCTGCACTCAACCTAAAACGAGACAAGTGTGTGTTCAAGAAATCATCAGTCACCTATAACATTGCATTAATGCTACTGGTATCCGTCCTACAGAAGAAAAGGTGGCAGCCATACAGAAAGCTCCAGCGCCTCAGAACAGAGAAGAGCTTAAAAGTTATTTAGGTCTCTTAAATTACTATCAAAGATTCTTGAAGAATCTTAGCACTGTTTTGGCACCACTGTATCAACTTGGACAACAGAACACCAAGTGGCAGTGTGGGAAAAGTCAGCAGGAAGCATTCAGCAAATCGAAGGAACTATTACAGTCGTCTTAACTGTTGGTACACTATGATAGTGGTTTGAAACTAATCTTGGATTGTGATGCTTCTCCATATGGCATTGGAGCAGTACTTTCCCATAGAATGCCAAATGGAATGGAACAGCCCAGAGCTTTTGCCTCCCGCACACTAGCATCTGAAGAGAAGCGATATGCCCAGATAGAACGAGAAGGACTAGCATTTGTGTGCTATATGGCCTATATGCCTATATGGGCGTGAATTTAGCATCAAAACAGATCATAATCCATTACTTGGTCTGTTGAAAGATGTATAGCTATATCACAGTTGGCAAGTGCTAGAATTCAGCGATGGGCACTTACACTAGCCAATTATCAATACCAGTTAGAGTATAAACCTGGAGCTAATATGGGAAATGCAGATGACTTAAGTCGCTTACCCATAAATGAACAACCAGGCAGTGTACCTGTCCCTGAAGAGGTGGTTCTTACATTATCAACGCTAGAAGGATCACCAGTAAGGCTGAGCTTGTAGCAAACTGGACAGCAATAGATCAAGTATTATCACACATCTGAAAGTGGGTAACTCAAGGTTTGCCAAGGAAGGTTGAGGAACAACTGCGACCGTATTTCAGATGCAAACAAGAACTCTCAGTTCAGCAAGGATGTATTTTATGGGGGTCGTGGGTAATAATTCCAACTCAGACTCGTGAAACTATCCTTGAGGAACTTCATGAAGGTCATCCTGGTATAGTGCACATGAAAGCTTTGACCTGGAATTACCTATGGTGGCCAGGGTTACATGCTGAAATCGATGCCAGAATTCGCAGTTGTACAGCATGCCAGGATTCTACGAAATCGCCAACTAAAGCACCATTACATGCTTGGGAATGGCCTAACCAGTTGTGGTTCCGACTGCACATAGATTTTGATATTAATCATTGTTGATGCTCATAATAAATATATAGAAGCTCACATTATGCCGACAAATTGTACCAAACATTTGCTACGCATGGTCTACCACATGTGATAGTACCAGATAATGGTACTTGTTTCACCAGTGAAGAGTTTAGACCCTTTTGTAAATCAAATGGATAAAGCACATCACAACAGCACTTTACTATCCCGCCAGTATCGGGTTAGCTGAAAGAGCTGTACAAACTGTCAAGGAGATCTCAGAAAGACTTCAGGATGTTTAGAGTCCAGATTGTATCGATTTTTGACAAGATACAGAAGCACGCCACAGACTACCACAGGACAGAATCCTGCAGCATTACTTATGCATAGACATCCAAGATCAAGACTTGACCTTGTGCAACCATCACTTCAGAAACGAGTATTGCATAACCAGGAAAAGATGAAAGAGAATTACGACACAAAAACATGGGATTACACCTACTTCCTTGGGGATTCAGTACTTGCTATGAATTATGCAGGGAAACCAAAATGGATACCAGGAATAATTGAAGAAAAGTGGGGATCACTATCATTCCTAGTTAGACTTCAGAATGGAAGGGTTTGGAAAAGACATCAAGATCAGCTTAGATCTAGATTGCAAACAGTGGAAATTACGCAAAGTGGCCAAACTCAGAGTAAACCAAATATGGTACCTGTACCAATGCTGATGCCTTCTAGCTCGCCATCAATGCCAGTTCCTAAACATGATATGTATGTAAAGTTACATTTTGAAACATTGCATATGATAGGCTAGAATAAAGCCTGCACTAGGGTGTGAGCCTAGCGCCACCCACATTGTAGTTTAGTCGAGTTTTGCAGTATTCAGTACAAGTGCATGCAGAATGAACTGATCCAGAAAATAACATTATATATTAAATCCCAATATAGACTGCTAGAGTGAGATTCACTTAGATGGGGAGGGATGTGGTATATTGACCTTGGGTCGTATTTAATTACATGTACTTCATTACGTCATCTGCACATGCGTAGTCAGAACGCCGCCATTACTGTAATACACCAGTTGTGTTGTTTATACCAGGCTTGTATTCTTTAGCCTGTTACGGCCTTAACTGCACCCAAGAACCCAACACATACCCTGGCCACATAATTAGGGACACGTACTATAGACGTGTACCGTTAGCTATGTACTATAGACACATATTATAAGACACCTACTCTGAACACATATTACACTGAACATTTATATACACATACATAGAGGGCACTGTTTCGCTGCTGCCACTTGGTGAAAGTGTTCTCCTGAATTTCTCCGTTTTCATTCTTTTAATACTGTGAGTTGACTGTTTAATTTTGGAGCCTTACAATGTGTGTGTACACTGGGTTATTCCTGCTGTATTTTTATCCGCTGACATTTTACCGTTTTCTTTATTTTAGTTTATTTTAGTTTATTCTCGTTTGGTGGAGTACGTTTTGTGTGTGACTACGAGTATTTTGATTATCATATGAATGACATTCATGATGCAGTCTTCACGTCTGTTGTACACTACCACTCAAACCTTTCGGTTACGTAATCAGCATTCTTCAATCCTGCCTGATGCTGCGCAGCAAAATACATTTTTATCTGGAAATTACGCAGTCGACATGTTGGGTTACATATTGTTCGTCCTATTCGCGCTCACATCTCATCTTGTCCTGAAAAAAAAACACCAAATAACATTACATCAAATTGTAAGTGAAAATTGAAGTATGTTAATTCATCGCGCGATTCTCATCACGATATTAATATATCTACATCAAAGTCCATCAGTCACCCAGTTACTGTTAACATTACAACACGTTACAACATCGTATCCCAACTTTAATAACACAGTACCAACTCCGACCTACAGACGCCGCTGTTTGATTTATATTACCAACCCAAATAATAAATCAATACAGACCA